AAACATGAATTCCTTCATGATTTCATGGATATAATTACACAGGATGAGGTCATATTAACAATGGTGAGCCAATAAAAGGAAAACCCTATGAAAATAAAATGAAAGGTGGCACAGGGCAGATATAAACCACAAAGGTGGTGCATGAGGGACAAAAGTCTGCAGAGTGCTAGCCTAGAGAAAGACCTCCTTGGTAAGAAGGTAAAGAGTTAACTTGTCCTGAATCCCTGTTTCTCACAGGGGCGGGGGGCGGGGGGGGCGGGGAATGGTCCCAAGCTAATTAGAAGACACTGAAGGTTTTGTTTTTCGTTTTTTTCTAAAACCAGAAGAGCGGAAATCCGGCACTTTATTCTTATTTCTTTGAGCTCAGCGAGGGAACAAAACCTATTCACCAGTTCTATCCGCAGGGTCAGGCAAAGGCTTTAATTCCCAAGGAAGAATGGGATCCACCCCACAGCCTGAAACCTGACCTGTCTATGAATGTGGCTGCCACCAGCCAGTGACTGCTCATCACCCAGGGAGAGCAAGACCAACACCAGAGCCACAGTCCCGGGTTGATACCTTGGCTCTGTCATAATTTAGACTATGCCCCAGCAACGAGGATAACACCAGTAAAGAAATCGCAGCAGCTGACAGCTACGGACACTTACTGCCTGGCAGGCCCTGGGCTGCATGCTGCCCAACACAGGAAAATGGCAACCCCAAGTGATAACGTGTAAAAAATTCTTATTTTACAGATGTGAAACTGAAGAACAGGGAGGTTATGTAACTCGCCCCAGGTAACAAAGCCGGTGGAGGCTGAACCAGGACTCAGACCATCTGGTGTGGCTCAAGAGCTCATCCTGGATGCCTTACTATGCAGCCCCAGTTGACCCAAAGCCCTTTCTAGACATCATTCCCTGTTGTCCTCAAAACAGAGACTTGGGCTCTCAGCTGGTTCTAGCACTTAGAGAGCAGGGACCCAGAGCTTTAAGACATGAGCCCTCTACCCCCCACGCCCCGAAGGGCACACTCTGGGAAGTAGGAGGGATTTAGACTTGGGAGGCCCAGTGCTGGAGCATCCTCAGGCATCTGTGACGTGGGGTTCTCTGGGATCCCACGCTGAGGAACACTGCCTTCCATCATTCTGCATCTGGCCAGCTGGTCTGATCCAGGGCAGCGAACTATGAACGCACGTGCCAGTTAGGTCTGCTTTTGTATGGCCCAAAAGCTAAGAATGGTTTTCACATTTTTAAATGGCTGAAAACAAATCCAAATAATATTATTTCATGACATGTGAAAATGATATGAAATTCACATTTTAGTGCCCACAAACAGTCGGACTGGAACACAGTCTTGCCCATTCACCTACACACGGTCTATGCTGCTTTTCCGGTAGAGCGGCAGAGCTGAGCAATCACAACAGACTCCACAGGCCCACGGAGCTGTAAACATTTACTTTCTGGCCCCTTCCAGAAAGTTTGCAAATCCTGGTCTAGTCCTTCTTGGCAGCCACTGTGGGAATCCTCCTTACAGCCTCCCTCCCTCCAGCCTCTACCTTCGCCCCTCCAGCGGTGGAGAGCAAGCAACACCGATGCAAAGGGCTGGGGCTGTGTGTGCTGACCCTGAGCTCCCCTCTGGTGACGTCGCTCTCTGCCCTCCAAGTCCGTGGAGTCGCTCTACCACTCCTCTTGAGGCCATTAGTTCCTTTCTTCTCTCTAGGGCCCACCCTTCCCCGTCCTCCTCCCCAAGTAACTGTGAAATGATATGTTCCCTCACACTTACTTTTGGTGAAATGGAAAAAACAGCAAAACCTTGCAGCGTCACCATGAATATTAATAACCACGCATGGTCCGTGGCCATGGTATTTGCTCCCAGGATGTTACTTTCTTTTTCTCCTTTCTTCCCTCCTATTATGGGCCCGGGACCATGCCAGGTGCCGAGGGTCCTGACCAGTGGGGTCCAGTCCCTGTTCTCAGGAAGTCTAGTCTAGCTGGGGAGACACACATGCACAAGTACTAATAAAACGGGACAGTGCTCTGTTAGCGTGCGATGGTGGAAATAATAAAAACAATGGTGAGGACAGCAAGAGCTAATGTTTCCTGCACACTCACAATGTGCCAGGCACTCCCGGGGAGGGTGGGGGGGCGGCTTGCTTCATTCTCACCACCACCCGGAGAGGTGGTGGATGCTCTTGTAGCCACTGTTCCAGCCAGGAGGAAGTGGAGGCTCAGGGCCCAAAGGCAGAGAGTGAAGAAGCCTGAGGAGCGGGGGAGATGCAAGGGCACGAAAGCAATGGCTGGATCTGAAGGGGTCAGGAAAGGGGTCAGGGAAGGCCTCAGGGAGGAGGTGACAGTGCCTGAGCTTTGAAGGATGCACACTGGAGCAGGCACGCCGGGGAGAGGGAGCGGCAAACGGAAAGGTGCTTGGGTGTGTGGGAAGATGTGGGCTTTGTGAGTTGAGTGACACTCACCCCTGATGAACATCACTGGAACTCTCTGTGCTCAGGGAGGCCAACTCTACAGGGCCCTACTTGCAATAAAGGGGATGGAGTCGGCAGCCTGGAGATTCTTTTACTCCTACAGCTTATAAAAATACTAGGTCATCAATAATCACAGCCAATCAGCAGTCCTTCCATCTCTTTGTCTAAAACATATGGACTACTGAAGGCAAGGCGCCTGGGTGGCTCAGTCAGTTAAGCGTCTGCCCTTCGGCTCAGGTCATGATCCCAGGGTCCTGGGATCGAGTCCTACGTTGGGCTGCCTGCTCAGCAGGAAGTCTGCTTCTCCCTCTGACCCTACCCCCTCTTGTGCTCTATCTCTCTCACTCTCTGAAACAAAATCTTAAAAAAAAAAGGACTCACCTCCTTTAAAAAAAAAAAAAGACTACTGATGGCATTTACTCAAATGGCAGCTATTCTTCATTTAATTCTACTTTTAGAGCCTCTTCAGCTTTGGTTCAAATTTCATAATTTCATGGGTTCTGGGGAGTTCATCACAGCTTCACTACCAATTCACTGGGGGCTTGGGTGAGTCAGAGTCTTCTCCTGTGTAAAATGAAGGGGATGGGCTAGAATGGAGCTTTTCAACATGTGGTTTCCAATTCAGTGGCATTAGTCTCTCCTGGGAATTTGTTAGTAATGCATAGTCTAGGGCTCACTCCAGAACCTAGAGTCAGAAACTCTGGGGGTGGGGCCCAGCCATCTGTCTTTAACAAGTCTTCCAGGGAATTCTGAGGAGAACCCTGAGTTAGAAGACCCCTAGGGTAAAGACCCCTTCAGTAGTAAAATTTGGTTTGGGATCTAAGCTATTATAACTTAGTAGCATTTTCTCTGGGCAGAGTACTTCTTGTGACAGACAGGCAACCCTCAGGATAAGAAGAGAAGCTGTTTTCTTTGACAAACTAAGGCCCAGAGCTCAGGTGAGCTTTTCTAGAAAGGTTCAGAAAATGTGGCTGACTTTGAAGGTAAGAACTAAGAAGTCTCCAACTTGGCATGTGATGAAAGAGCAGTATCTGTTGTTGGAGAAATAAAGATGAGGGAAGAGCCGCTTTCTCTTTTCAGCTCCAATACAATGACTCATTGCGGGGTGTGGGTGGCCAGGAGCCGGGAGGGTGTTCCTCAGAGAGCAGCCTCCCCTCTCTGGTCCAGGAGCTTTCTGGCTGTAAATAAATCCTGGACTTCCCCCCACCCCCCTTTGGACAAATTTGATTACAAAACCTCAGAAGAGCCACAGACAGCCATGGTGCTGATTACATTGCAGAGCTGGGTTGACAGTTAAGTGAGGTTTGGCTTCCAAGACAGTAAGAAAGGAAAGAATGTCTAAAAGTTCCAATTTTTCCAGTCTGGACTGAATGCTAAAGGCCATCAAGAGGATGAAGGAAGAATTTCACAGTAATGGCCACAGTCTCCTAATTGGAGGAGGCACATCCAGACTGCCCCTGGGGAAGTGTTAGCTGTTTGGGCCAGGGCCTGTGGTTCCTCCCTCTGTTGGTGCACAACAAGGAGTACCTATGAAACCCTCCGCCCAGCTATTTCCAGGGATTCCCGACCCTCACTTGGTGGTATCTCAGTAACAGTGCGGATAAATACTACCACTTTCTTTTATATAGCAGGGCCATGTGCCAGGCACGGTTCTGAGTACTTTACAATTATTAGCGAGCTGAACCTTCACAACCACCCCACGGAAGCAGGGACCATTAATATACCCCTCATTACAGTGAGGAAACAGGGAGGAGGCAACGTCACAGAGCTAGTAAGTCTCCCATCAACAGGGGGCAGGAGAGCCAGGAGACCCGCGCTCTCAGTGAGTCTGTGCCTCCCGCCAGGGTCCTTAGCCCACCCGTCTACTGAGAAACGAGGGAGGCGCAATCAGGTGGTTCCTGAGATCACTTCCAGCTCCAGGAGTCTGCGACCGTGCGGTCGACCTGCTGCTGGTCTGGCAGGTTCGCCAGCGTCCGGCCGGGCCCCGGGAGTAGCAGGGTTGCCTGTCCCCGTCCCCACGAGTCGCCGGCCCAGACGCCAAGCCCCGGTCTCCTGGTCCTGAGAGAAGGGACTTATAGCCCTTCTCCGGTATCCGTGTCCCGAGAGCGCGGCGAGCCAGGAGGGAGCAGGCAAGAGCCCAGGCGCCAAGCCCCGGGCTGGGGAGGCGACGAAGGAGACAGGCCAGGGGCCCCAAAACGGTAAAACCACGCAGCCCCTTCCACCCCCAAAACTTTCTCCCTGGATTCACCGACCCCAGCAGCCACACATTGGCTGAGCCGCAACAGCCCGGACCCGGCCTCTCTCTTTAGCTATTGGCTGGCGTAGGCATCCATCACAAGTCGAGGCTTCCTAATGGACCATAGCTTTTGTCCATCAAGGTAGGCGGGAGGCTGGGCGGGGCCAGGTCGGGGAGAGACACGCCAGCCTCGTTCCCCTCCCAGCCTGCCTCCAGAGGGTGGCTTGGGATCATGGAGGGGCCCCGGGAGACTGAGGCCGGGTGCAGGGCCCTGCAGCGGGGTTAGGTGGGGCTCCGGGGACTCACCGATGCGCTGTCCCACCGGAGAGCTGAAAGGATTTCCCAGGAGAAAGTCCATCGCCGCGGCTGCCCCAGCCACCAACCCGGGGAATCAGCTGACAGCAACCGCCAGCAACGCCGACCTGTCACGTGACGTGCCGGAAGGTCCGCGAGGAGGCGTCCGTGGAGGCGGGGCGTAGGGAGTCGAGCGCGGCCACAGGCCCCACCCCTGACGTGGAGGGTCGGGTGCCCGGAGTCGGAGGGCGATGACCTCACTGCCACTCACTCGGCGTCTGCGGACATCGCGCACAACGTAGGGCTGGGCGGATCTGGGGGGCGTGGCCTCTCCAAGCCACGCCCCAGTGTTTTTTTTTTAAGGGCGCTGCTGTCAAACAGTCGTAGAGCGGGGAAATGACTTGGGTAAGGTTACACAGCAAGCTTAGATCAGTTCTCACTCTAGTGACCTCACTAGACTACGCCCCCATCGCTGGGGTTGACAGCATCTCTGGCCTGTTGTCTCCCTGCCCTGGTAGAGCTCTTCCTATCTGATGTCCAGGCCTCCCGGTGGCAAGATGCACGCTGCTTGCAGCCCGCATTCGCTTATCTCAAATTGGAAGCCAGCACCAGGGGATTGCTATCCCTTGACAGAACCAACTCAGTGACCTGCAGCGAGGAATGGGCTAGAGCCCGGAGTGGCAGAAAGCACCCAGATGTAGTCGTAAGTGGGGCCTGGGACTCATCTCTACCATTTACTGTGTGATTCAGACAGCGAGCTTCCATTTTTTCCGGATGCTGGAATTCGATCAAGGACTGTACACCTTTCTTTTTTTTTTTTTAGGTCACAGGCTCCTTTGAGAACTTGAAGAAAACCACCAACCTTTCTGAAGAAAAAAGGGCAGAGATACAATTTAACTTCAGGGACTTTCTGGGGTCCCCGAAGTACAGCAGTAGACCCCAAGTTAAAAATTTTAAGACTCTCAAAGGCCTTTCCTAGTTCTAGGATTCTAATATCTTCTTCAGCCTTCCTATGTACCAGGTTTTAGATATTTCACCCACACATTAGATCAGATCTGACCTATTATGTTTTTTTTTTTTTTTGATCATATGTAGTCCAAAAGATACAATAACCACTGCTTTGGTAGTCTGGGCTACTGCAGGGTGCTTTCATATTTAATTGATCACAGTTAATTGTGATTTTAATTAGAAAGGCTAGTAAATTGTACAAAGTTAGGATGGAGAACCTAAATTAAAACTTAATCATTTCCTTACGTTACCTTGTTTGAGCAGCCACAGGGGCTGATAACTTTACTGTACAGTATAAGAACTTCATGGAAGTCTTGTACTCCTGTGCTTTGAGGTGTTTTAATAATGCTCATGAGACCTATTCATAAATACCCTTCTCCCCACTAGTCTAGCTACTCTGGGAGGGCTGGGATACTGTCTACTTTGCTCACCACTGTTATCTAGCATGGTGACTAATATATGAAAATTTATTTATTTTCAAAGATTTTATTTGAGAGACAGAACACGAGTGGGGGGGGAGGGGTAGAGGGAGAGGGACAAGCAGATCCCCCGCTGAGCAGGGCTAGATCCTAGATCCTAGGACCCTGAGATCATGACCTGAACCGAAGTCAGATGCTTAACTGACTGAGCCACCCAGGTGCCCCTGAGATTTAAATCAATCTACCAAATAATGGTATTTGGACTATAAAGGGGGGGATGTACATTTAAGATGACTTCCATGTCAGGTACCCACCATGCTTTTCTTCATTAAGCATATTGCTAGGTTGTATGGAGGATATTTTAGCATAAACTTCTTTTGGATTCTTCCATTAGCAACCTTTAACATGCTCATGTTGGTGGTGATTTACCTGAATGAGGTTCTTGCCTCCTTGCACCACTCTGGTTTAAAGTGATTATGGGCAGATCTTGGCTTTATTGACAAGAATAAAACAGCCACAAGTTATATCCTTCATGGTGAAAAAGCAGAAACAATCCACATACTCCCAAACAGGGAGTGGAATCATATCAACTCCATGCAAACAGAATACAATATAGCTCTTAAATTAGAAGTGGAAGTATGTGGATTTGTCAACACAACAGATAGGAATGTAAATGGCAAACATTAAGTGTAGATAAAACTGATTAAAACTAGTGATTGCTGGGGCACCTGGGTGGCTCCGATGGTTAATCATCTGCCTTCGGCTCAGGTCATGATCCCAGGATCCTGGGATCGAGTCCTGCATTGGGCTCCCTGCTATCCGGGGAGCCTGCTTCTCCCTCTGCTTCGGCCTCTCTCTGCTTTCATGAATAAATAAGTAAAACATTTAAAAAAACACAAAAAACTAGTGATTGCTAAGGGGCACCTGGCTGGCTCAGTTGGTAGAGCATGTGACTCTTGTTCTCAGGGTCCTGAGAACTTATTTTTTTTTTAAAGATTTTGTTTCTTTATTTGACATAGAGCACAAGCAGAGGGGAAGGGCAGAGGGAGAGGGAGAAGCAGACTCCCCGCTGAGCGGGGAGCCCGATGTGGGACTTGATCCCAGGACCCTGGGATCATGACCTGAGCCAAAGGCAGATGCTTAACTGACTGAGCCACCCAGCTGTCCCCAGCCTATTTTTTTAAGTGTTTGCTAACAAGGAATAAACTCATTTAGTAAACAGTGTTTTAATTTTTTAAGTATTTTAGTAATATTGATATAAAATGCCTTCTTGAGGGCAAATATGTCCCTAAGACTGACATATTGCATAAATGGGATGTAATCAGTTATATCCTTCAAGTCCTTTTAGACAAAAATCAAGATCCTCTACCTCCAAAGTTGAAAGACAATAGTATGACAAGAAAAGTGAGGCCTGTCTAGCAAAAGCCAGCCAGGACAAGCAGACATTTGAACAATGGAAAAGTCTTGGGTAGTCTTCCTATGATCTCATTTGCTCAGGACTGTCGATAACAGAGAAGGATTCTGATGGATTCCATACATGATCCGACTGTGAATGTGGTTTGGGGCAGAAGAGAGCCTAGGCCCTGGGTCAGCTGTGCCAGTGTGCTGCTTCCGGCTTTGCCATTTACTAGCTGTGCGACCCAAGGAAGAGCACTTTTCTGCATCTGTCTCATTTGTAAAGGGGGTAACACTCATAAGGCTCGTGGGAGGATTAAGAGAGAAAACATGCAAATCGCTCTTTCCTAGTCACTCAGCAGTCTTGGTCTCTTTCTTGTAGCCTCTCCATAAGAGGTCAGCCTTCCTATTGATCGAATATTCCACTATTTCTGACTAGTACCACCTCGGGTTTGCATTGAAATTTTTACCTTGAGAGGTCGGGTCTCCATATATTAAATGTTCACAGTGTTACTAGACATTCATGTCAGGCTGGCTGGCCGCAGGCTTGGGGATGGGAGTGACCTTAACACTATTTTACTGGTGGGACTTCAGATGCCCATAAGGACTAAGTGACCTATCCAACATCACTCATTTAGTCAGGAGAGGACTGAAACGGCATGAAATATATCATGTCTAAGCACATGGTTCAGATGTGACCCTTAATACATGACTGCTATTTTCTTGTGTTAGGCCAACACTGTGGTGTACATACAATTTCATTTATCAGTGAATAGAGCTTCTCTTATCAGAGTCACTGGTTTTTAGTTTGCAAGAGAGAGAACACGAGACTCTACAATGTAAAAGTGAACAGAGACAGAGCAAGATGTATGTTAGGAAAATGGCTAAGATCAGAAACTTGGCCTCTAGTCCAGACAGATTTTTCTTTTTAAGAAAATCATGGTGGGATATAGGGGGAAAATGACAGGTTTTAGAATTTCATAGCAACTTGGTCAGGAACAGGGAAAAGATACCAGAGACCGGACTACAAATATTAAAAATGTGATTTTTAATAATATAAGTACAAAATTTTATTTCTTTATACAACTGTAATGGAATTTGGATCAAACCGCTAGAATTTATTTAAAAAACAAAATAAAACAATGATATAAAAACTGCAAGAAGGTCTGAATCCAAAGTTTTTCCTCTAGTAGTACCAAATACCACAAGGTACAGATTATTATACAAATGTGTACAAATTTAAATACAAATACAATAGGGTCGGGTTTTAAAGGAAAACAAACAAACAAAAAGCAGGTCCTCATCAGGATTTCATTAATGTGCACAAATGACAAGCGTAGGATTGACTTCTTCCGTACTAATCTGTGTCTTCAAGGCCCCTTGTTGATAGACCCTGTGTCAAACAGGAAACTTCCATGGGTACGGATGAGGCGTGGCACAGGGTCTAACACACGAAATCAAACCCAGATTTCGGCTCTTCGTGATTTTGGTTCCCAAACATACCCGTTTCCTTCTGTTTCCCCAATTAAACTTCACAACTGCTCTGAGCTGAGGGCTGATCAGCAGCCAGAGTACCATCAGGAAACAAAGCCCTGTGACCACACTGGTGGGGAGAAGGGAAGGGATTAAGTCAGATGCAGGCTGGCTGCACGGTCCTCAAAGATCTACTCTGATGCTGTAGTGCTCCGTCTAGGCCGGGGGAAGAAAGCAGTTACCCCGGAGCTTGGTTTTGGCAGGGAATCTCACACCAGATTGAATAACAACCCTGAAGTGCTCAACTGTCTTCTTTGGAACTGGGAAGCAAAAGTCTGGTTCTTTGGAAAAGTGGGCAGCTAGGAATGGTAACATTCCTTTTAATTTTGCTTTCTTGACATTATTGAATTATGAAGAATTAGAATCCTGACATAATGATTCCTTTTTGAGGCACAATACCTTAAAATGTAGATGATTTGAAGTTCTCAGAGGAGACCAGAGGAAAAGAAGGAGGGAAGAAATGACAAATCTGTATCTTCCACATGCTGTTGCTGGTGGAGGCTTTTGTTATTAAATTATATATACAGAAATTTACAGGATAAATTAAAATCTAAGAGATTTTGAAGAGTTAAATACACATAATTAAAACACATTCACACGCGCACATAAATAAACCTACATGAGAATCGAGTACTTTCTTTTGCAATTCACTTATGTGTGGAATGCAGAACACTGGGTATCTATCTGCCCACCAGGGGAGCCAACAGGATGAACCCAAGAATCATGCTGGACAAAGTTCATCTTCCCAAACCATCAAGCAACTAAGCAGCAAAACCTTTGAGGACTCAGTGACTGAGCTAATGCTGCCGATGGAAGATATCAGCAGTTAGTTCTGTAGATGGAATATTCTGGGTCAGCTCACAATATATGCAATTCAACTTGTGCAATAACAGCTTTACCCTCTCCA